AATATATCCGGTAGCGTTTTACCAGTTTCATCATTTTGATACCGGTTTTATCATATTTTTATCTGTTATATTGTTGTGGATCGTTACATTTTTTTAAAGTATCGACGCTTTATAGGCGTTAAAATTGCTTATCTTTTAAATTAACGAAGTGTCGATCCTTATATTAAAGTACCGACACTTTAAATATATTCGGTAACGCTTTACCGGTTTTATCATTTCAATACCGGTTTTATTATAGTTTGACCTGTTATATCGTTGTGGATCGATACATTTTTAATTTGACACGAACCGACAATTTAAGTTTGCCAGTTGCATAATTTTTTAATATTTCTTCATGACTTAGACCTACTACATTATTATTAGTCAACATTTCCGATAACGCTAAACTAAATTTATTAAATATCTTTTAATATATTCGATAACGTCGTATATTCGCCCACCTTGTTGAGTCATTCCGGAGGTGAGAGGGGCGGACAGTGGCGGCAGTTTCTAGGATAAACCGGCTGCTGATGTATTCTACACTTTCCGTACTTCTGTGTTCAATCAATTCCTATCCAATCAATAGCTTTCGTTACGGAGTAACATTTTTAAAATAAATCATTCATTGAAATAATCTTTTTTCCCATAAAACAGAGTCCTGAGCCGTTGCGAAAGAAATAATGCAACAACATTGAACAAAAACGTAGTTCCGAGGAGTTTAGAGCAAAGTTCTGACCAAGATCAGTAATATCTATGAATCTTAGTCGAGCAATGTATGGTGATCCATTCTTTGAGTTAGATCTTCATAAATTTAATAAGAGTGTCGATAACGTTTTTACCTGTCTTTTCTTGCCAGCATTAGCATCCGGCCATCAAGGAGATCGAAGTTTTCTTGTACCGTGGAGCCCTTTCTATAGAAAACCTTTTCTAGCCTTAACTACAGTATAATAGAGCCGTCATAGCGAAAATTTGAACCAAAACTGTAAGGATGCTCGTTGGATCGATATACAAAAACTAGAATCTCAACGGAATCGTAGAAACTGGAACATCCCGGAATCGAGGGAAAACGGGTCACCTCAGCCCAAGACAAACTCAAGAAACAAACTTCATTAAAAACCTAAAAGGCTCCAAGACATCGGCTAATGAGCCTCCACACGACAAGAAGGTCGGGTCACACGACAACCGAAGGCAGACGTCGACGACGGAAAAAGCGCCCAAAATACGTTGAGACTTGAGAGAGAGAGAGAGGGAGAGAGAGAAAGGTAGAAGAGTAAAGGGAGAGCAGCGGCGAAGGACGTTGGGAAAGGACTAAATAGAGGTGGGACTGAGGGGGGCAATGGTGGGAGGCTGAGTGAGATAGGGAGGCCGGCGGTCGTTTAAACAATCCCATGTATCTAAGCAGCTGCCGGTAGGGTTTTTTTCTTTGAACGGGTTTGGGAATTCGGAGAAGTTTTTTTTCCCCTTTAAAAAAATTATTTTGTCTAGCTAACCGAATATGATTGTCGCTTGTTTTATATGTTTATTGGAATTGATTAATTTATTTTATTTTCAACAAAAAAATTTATCATCGGTATATTAAATAATAAATAAACAATTCTAATTATATTTTTTTTACTAAAATAAAATTATAAATTAAATTAATAATTTTTATTGGAATGTAAATTTGTTCCAACATTAATTTATTCGTTTAAATAGGAAGAGTTACCTAATTTCTTCCTTGTCTTTTATCTTTGATTGGCTGTTAAAATTATTTGCTTAACTATTTCACATTAAATGTTTATATTTTTAATATTTAATGTATTTAGATTTAGGATTAAAAGATAACAATTAATTTTTTAATCATTAAGATGACATAATTTTTACAAAATATATTAAATCTTTAATGTTAACGTACTTCACTCTTTTTTTTCTATTTTCATTTCTCCTAACCTAGCGTTACTCTCTTTCTTTCGCATTTTAGTTAGCAAACAATAACTTTAATATTGGTGTTAGGTATTATCCGTCAATAATTATTTTTTTTCTATATTTTTTTATCTTGAATATATCTTCTTATTTTATTTTATTGGATAAGTAAGTTATATTTCATCCAAAAAGAATGCAGTCGAGGCTGCTACAAAACGTCACAAACAATCATGTACAAGTGTCTAATTACATCCTCAAATCAATATATCCATGCCTGTACAACTTGATTTTTACCGCCTCCATAAGCCTATTTACAATTACATTAACCGAACGAATCAAATTTCTATGATATCTATGGTTGTGTTCCTCCCAAATAAGGTAGAGAAACCCAGTCAATGCAAGCTTAAGGACACGAACTCTAAGGGTTTTTCCCTTGAGGTTAGCCAGTAGCCAGTGAAGATGCTCAACCCAGGTGCATGCCACATATTAGACACTACAAGCACTCAACACAGCTCCCCCAACACCCTTAACATTAAATCAGTCAGTAAAAAGGTGGTCACGAGACTCCACTCCAGTACCACACAAGCTACATACATTATCAACAATCAATCCAAACCGAGCAAGCCTATCTTTTGTAGGAAGCAAATCAAGAATAACCATCCATGAGATTAAAGCGAATTTGGGAATATGGCCAAGGAACCAGATTAACCTATGCCAGCTAACTTTCACTCTGCTGTTACGAATGTTGTCCCAAATCCACTTCTGACGCCAGACAGAATAGTGATTATCCTGTAGGCTAGCTCCGACAGACGATTCACAAGAGAAAATCCGCCCAAAAACCAGAGAAAAAAGTCTCTAGGGTTTAATAAAATATTATAAAATCAATAACTATCTCAAAAGCAGTCCACAATCCGGACTGTTATAGCAAAAAAAATCGTCTTTATTCGAATTTTGCCAAAAATAGCAAAAATCGTATTTATTCGAATTTTGCCAAAAATAGGAAAATCCCGAAAATCACTCTAAATTGAAATTCAAAATAAAATAAGCAATCTCCCAAAAATCCGGTCTAAATCGGATTTAAATTGACTTCCTAATTAACAATCGAAATATTACCATAAATAGTAAAAAATAACTAAATCTAGTGATTCGGAGGGGAAAACGGCAGAATTTGAGGTTGAAAAGAAGGCCACATGGAGCGTAGCTCCATGTCACATGGAGCTACAGCGTAGCTCCATGTGGAGAGCGTGCGCGTCGAAAAGAGCTTTCCGGATTGGGGTCTTATGCGCGATTCTGACACCTGTAGCCAAAGTTATGGCCAAAAGACTGAAACATACTCAAAACGACCCCAATAAGGAACATGTCACAATCAATTCCCGCCTTTGCGCTGATCTGCCAACTCATGGTATCTCAGCGCCATCAACGTGCAATCTGACAGCTCAGCATCATCTGTCTCGGATCCCCCTGCATCAACTTCCCTTTAATTAAATTCCAGTTAGCATAGGGATGGAACAATCTCCTAGCCTCTTCCCTCAACTTCAACAACTTGGTTAATATCCAGTAAAAATGGGGTTTACAATCAACCTCCCAATAGCTCACAGATTTAAAGCAATATTCCTTGATCCATGCAATCCAGAGCAAGCCATCACCAGCCAAAAATGTTTATGACTAGCAGCAGACATCATGCTCTACTCCACACCACAAGATTCTTAAGGCCCAGACCACCCTCAGACTTTAAGGTGCAGACCTAGTTCCAGCCAACATGTTCTCCCCTAGGTGGAGTGTTATTGCCCTTCCAAAAGAAACACATACAAAGCTTTTCAACATCCCTAATAATCCATTTTGGAAGAATGAGATGCATGCTCCAATAGTTAAAGATACCGAACAAAATAATTTTGACTAATTGCAGTCTACCCCCAAAGCTAAGGTTTTTATTGGACCATTGGCTGAGCTTGTCTTTAATCCTAGCCAATAAAGCTGCACAGTCTTTACCTGTGAGCTTCCTAGTCACAAAAGGTACTCCCCGGTACCTAACAGGAAGGTGCCCCAGTCTAAAACCAGTAGCAGTACAGATCTGTTCAAGAGTATGAGAACTCAAACCACAAGCAAAATATTCAGTTTTTAGAGTATTCAATTTGAGGCTAGATAACTCATAAAATTTCTCTAAGGTGCTTATCACTCCTAAAACAGAATCAAGGAATCCATGGCAGAAGATAAACAAATCATCCATAAAGCAAAGGTGAGTGAGGGGAACTCTCTTATACTTAGGATGAAACTTAAAGATTCCCTGTTTTGCAACAACATCCAAAATGAAAGACAAAACATTCATGTCAATGACAAAGAGGTAAAGAGATAAAGGATCTTCTTGCCTTATTCCCCTTGCACCCTTAAAAATCCCACTAGACTCCCATTTAGAGAGACAGAGAACATAGGAGTAGTCATGCATGCTTTAACCCAATTACAAAAAATAGAAGGAAGGCCCAAAGCCTCAAGAGCAGACAGCAAAAAACCCCAATAAACAGAGTCAAAAGCTTTTTATAGATCTATTTTATGGCACACCTAGGGGAAAGACTCTTTCTTGAATAACCCTTAACAATTTCCTGAGCTAACAAGGTGATATCAACTATGATCCTTCCCCTTACAAAGGCAGGCTGACTTTGAGAGATCATGGCAGGGAAGAAAGACATTAATCTATTCAGCAGAATTCTAGTAATGGTCTTGTACACCATTGAACAATAGGAAATAGGCCTAAAATCCCTAGCCAATCAAGCATTGAGGGATTTAGAGACCAAGACTAAGGCAGTAGAATTGAAGGCTGGTAACGTACAAGAGGAGTGAAAGAAGTACTTCACAGCATAAATAAAGTCTGCCCCAACAATGTCCCAGACAGCTTTGAAAAAACCAGAAGTGTATCCATATGGGCATGGACTTTTGTCCTTACCATGCCTAAACAATGCCTTTTTAATCTCCAATTCATCAATCATTTTAGTGAGTGAGCCAACAACATCATCAGGCAGGGTGTAATTCAGCAATTCTTTAAGGCTCTCAATAGAACTGTCACTGACCATAAGATCAGCAGAGCCAATAAGACCAGTATAATAGCTAACTAACTTTGCAGCCATCTAATCAAAAGACTCATAGCACTGTCCCTCTTCACTCATAATAACTCTGATGGTATTCTTCTTTTTATTAAACTCAACCTTCTGCTGGAAAAACCTGGTATTTAAATCACCATCCTTTAACCAGTGCATTTTAGCTCTCTGCCTGTAGAATTCTAACTCAGCAATTTCCAGGTCTACTAACTCAGCTTGAAGAGTTCTTTCATCATCCATCCTCCTTTGGTCTACATGGGACAAATTAAAATTTTTAATATGCTCCAGATCATATCTCTTGGAATTAACTCTGCCAGAAATATCAGAGAAGAATTCCTTGTTAAATTCCTTAAGGCAAGGCTTAAGTGTTTTTAATTTTCTAAACAAACACTGCATAGGGGTCCCTTCACAATGACTCTGCCAGGATTCCACAACAGTACTCAGAAACTGCTCATTGCTAGTCCAGCAGTTAAAAAATTTGAAAGGCCTTGGTTTCTTGGACATATCCCCTTTATGAGTCCACAACAGACCCAGGCAGTGACCTGACACTCCTTTAGTCTTAAACTCAACAAATGACTCAGGGAAGTCCAACATCCCCTGAGGGTTGATCAATATCCTGTCAAGTTTTCTGGCCAAAAAGGAACCCTATTGTCTGTTTAACAAAGTAAACAGAGGACCAAGAAAAAGATGATCCATCAATTCAAGATCATACAAGCATTCCTGAAACTCCCTCATATCAGGAGTAAAATGTACTCCCATGACTTCAAAGTCAGAACTTTCCTCAGGACTAGCAGTGATGTTGAAGTCCCCCCAATCACCCATGAGGAAGAACCCATATAATTCTCAACAGTCTTTAAATGATCTCAAAGTCCTCTCCTAACTACCCCATTATTACTACCAATATAACAGTAATATCAATCATATGCCCATCAACAGTTCCAAAAATTGTGGTGGTCTTGTCACATTTCCACAACACAGTAAGCAAAAGATTATTTCTCTATAAAATACAAAGTCTACCTCCTTCAACATAATCATAATTCTCAGTAATATTTCAATCACTATACAAAAAAGAAAATAAACTTAGCAGAGCTATCTCTCCTAATAAGAGATTCCATAAAGCACATGACATCAACTTCAAAAGAAATCAGTCTCCTTAAAACCTTCATATGCTTTAGGGGTTGTTAATCCCCCTAACATTCTAAAATCTAACAATCGTCAAGAAGAAGCAAAAGGAGCACCACTAACAGAGTCTGAGCTCACCACACTACTTTTGACTTTATCAGAATAGTCCTTCTTCTTAGTTTTTATCTCATTGAGTAACACAGTCACTCCCATAGAACCCACACGAGCCTTCCTATGACATTTTTCCAAGTTATCAACCATATCAGAGGAGCCAGTAGTATTCTTTTTCTTACCCCTAGCATTCTTTTTAATTGAGTCCTGGAGAGAAGGGAAATCACCAGCCTGTGAGGCAGCTAACCCAACCCCCTCAGCAGTAAGAACAATACCACACTGACTAAGGACCTTCTGCTCCTGCACACCAGTGGTAACTGCCAAAACATCAGACTGATTCAAAACAGGGTGAACAATATTCGAAATCACCTTATCATCAATGTCCTCTTGTAAAGATTGCACAGATGCCTCTATAGCAGTCCCAACCTGCAACCCCATACATTCCATCATGGCCTTGTAGTTGCAATTATTCCCATGAGAGGCCTCACCACTTGAACTGCAAGGAACATCCTTCCAAATAGGAACAGCCACAGACAAATCCGTAGAAATATTTGGGTCATAAGCATGATTACCAGAGCTGACTACATTATCAGAAGAAGTATTAGATAAATCATTCTTTCTCCAAATTTTAACTTCTCTAGGCTTCAAAGGATGTCCAACCTCCATGCACGAACTGACATGATGACCAAAAACATTGCACTTAACACAACTCTTAGAAACCCAAGGCACATGCACTATGATTCTCACAGAAGACCCATTCAAAAGCACATGAATCAAATCGAGAATAGCCCCCCAGCTTCAAGCTCAACATGCACCTTGGGATATTCAAGCCTCGTCTTAGAAGCGTTTATTGAATCCATATACAGGGGATTGTCAATCGCGCTAGCTATGTAGCTAAGGCCCTTTTGGGTGTAAAGTTCCAGAGGAACATTATGAAGCTGAACCCAAACCGACATACAAGACAGATTGAAACTAAGATCTGAAGACATGGCTCCCATTTCCTTAAACTAGTGGCTTATTCTAAATATGCCAGGGACCGTTATCAAGCACACAGTCCCTCAGGTCAGAATTCAAAAACTAGAAAGCATAAATATTAGGGCCAGCCAAACTAACATTGACCTGCGATGAGTTCCCCGAAATTGATTCAATGATTCGCTGTAATGAGCTAACATTTGGGGCCAATTTAATGATTTGTCCCACTAACGCGTGATTCCAGTCAACTATACCTTCCTCTATCACTTCAGATGGGGTTTTACAGTAGCAACACCGTCTTGTAGATTAAGGGAAATTTCGAGAGCCTACTCCTTAGAACCCACAAACAGTTTTCGCCAATCTAAACCCAACGACTCCGAACCCATGAGATTAAAGCAAATAACAGAACTAGAAGACTGTGATTATCCAAATCAAAGAAAAGTTCAGAAGCGAAGAAGAAAATCTGGATACCCATTAGGCCAAATAACGTGCGCCCATAGAATTTTCATTTCGCCTTTTTCTTTCGAATTCTTTCGACTTCTTATTTTATTTCAAATAATTTCATTTTTATAAATTTTTTTCTTTATGTTAGTGATATATTCTTTTTTATCTTTTGATACATTTTTCTTCCCTTTATGAATATTTTTACCTGTTATTATTTATTTTTTAGATTTGATGTGATGATGCTCATTTATTATACTACTTTTCTTATTTGGTTTGAATCCTTAGATTAGATTTAGATACACATGATGCTTTCGTATATACTTTTCTCATGATTCTATACTCTAATTTGTGTTCGTCAGTAGTCTTTAAATATTTTATATGTTTATTGGAATTGATTAATTTATTTTATTTAAAACTAAAAAATTTATCATCGGTATATTAAATAATATTTAAACCATCCTAATTATATGTTTTTACTAAAATAAAATTATAAATTAAATTAATAATGTTTATTGGAATGTAAATTTGTTCCAACATTAATTTATTCGTTTAAATAAGAAGAGTTACCTAATATAATATCTTCCTTGTCTTTTATCTTTGATTGGCTGTTAAAATGATTTGTTTAATTATCTAATATATTTAATTTTAAATTTAAAAGATAACAATAAATTTTTTAATCATTAAAATTCCATAATTTTTACAAAATATATTGAATCTTTAATGTTAACGTACTTCACTTTTTTTTTCTATTTTCATTTCTGCTACCCTAGCGTCACTCTCTTTCTTTCGCATTTTAGTTAGCAAACAATAACATTAATATTGGTGTTAGTCGTTATCCGTCAATAATTATTTGTTTTTTCTATATTTTTTATCTTGAATATATCTTCTTATTTTATTTCAAATAATTTTGTATTTATAACATTTTTTCTTTATCTTAGCGATATATTATTTTTTATCTTTTGATACGTTTTTATTACCTTTATGAATATTTTGACCCTTTATTATTTATTTTTTAGATTTAATGTGATTACGCTAATTTATTATACTATTTATCTTATTTGGTTTGAATCCTTAGATTAGATTTAGATACGCATCGTGCTTTCGTATATAGTTTTCTAATGATTCTATGTTTTGATTTGTGTTCGTCAGTAGTCTTTAAATATTTTGTTCCCTTATTGTAATTCATTTATAGATACAATCATATTTGTTTTTTATTTAACTTTTGCTAAAAATTTTTAGATATGATTTTGGCTTTTTTGTGCATTTTACGTATATGATCACAAATGGATGATTTATTTTGTTGATTGGCATAAGATAATGTACTAATTATATATTTAGTTTACTATTTTTTTTTTGGTAGAAACGCTTGGAAAAACGACAACGTTTTCCTTTGCATTCTTAGGGTTTATTCTCCATTCTTATCAGCCTCAAGTAGCTGCAGAATTTCATCAGGCGGTTCTGGAAACTTTCGTCGTCCCTCTTCATCACTCAGGGCTGATTTCGCAAGCCAATCGGCACATTTATTACTTTCTCTCCAGATATGTTTGATTGTTTACGCCTATTCCTCATAAGATTCCTACACTCATTTGCTAAAATCGTTTAATTTACTATTTTAATAGTAAATTTTATTGTATTTTTAAATATTTTATTTCTTAATAAAATTAGTTACTTTTATTTACGTCAAAATATCAACATATATTTTTTATTTAATTTTTGGCTACTAAATATTTAATTCACGTTAATGCTCATAACTGATTTTGTACGTCCGTGGAATAAATATAGGCTTTACCAAAATCTATAAAATCACAAGGATCATGGATTGAAAAAAAAAATCAAAGAGTCCAACGAATATGTTGAACGATTAGTTTTTATGATTTCAATTATACACATATAGAGGGAGTTTGATGTTTATTGAGAGGACGATTTATTAGAAAGTTGTGTACAAGTTGAAGAATTAATATGTTAGAATCATATTCAAATATTAAGGAGGATTTAATTCCTGAAAATACGATGCAATCTTTACAAGTTGGAGAATCGGCTATCATAAAAATGGCTCGAAAAGAGGTGCTGTCAAATTTATGAGGATTGTGTTGTTTGTGCTTTTATTCTTGTTCAGTGGGCGTCCTTGACCCGAACCATTGGCTATTAATTGAGGTATATCTATGTATTCAACTCTTCTTTATCCATGGAACGGGAAGGGTTGGTTACTCGGGTGTAATAATTGGTGCGGGCCGTTGATCGCAGTTAACCAAAAGAATAATGGAATGACGGATGATTTTCATAATTAAAGTTTGTAAAATTTATCGTAAAGTTGTAAAAAGGTTTCATTATTTAAGGTGAGATCGGACTCTTATAACAATGATTTGATTGGTAATTAAACTGATTAAGTCATGGCTGCTCCTTCTAAACCCGCCCCCACGTGTTTAGCTTTAAGCTCCAAAAATTAGGTTCGAAGGGGACCCTACGAGGGGACATGCAATTCATTTCCCTTCACCTTTCTCCGTTACATCTAAGGTTCTCTTCCATCGTTTCAAAGCGACAACCTTGCTTAAATATCAACACGAACACCCGTTTTATGAAATATCACTTCACTTGTTTTTTCATGCTTGTAGAAAAATATTATCTTAGTGCTTCTTTTCGTTCCATATGAAGCCGTTTCTACTTGAGAAAACCTTACACAAAAGTTACGTTGGCTGAAGAATAGCAAGAAGCGAGCTTCACTTTGTAATAATTTTATGAGGACCAGCTTTTAAAAGTTGGGTGTTTTTCAGTAGCTTGAGAGTTGAAACTGACAGGAGGCTAGGGTTCTGGGCTCGTCAACTTTGAAAACTTAGGGTTTTCAGAGATTAACGTGGAGGCCATGGTTGCCTTTGTATTTTTCGGGTGTAGGCTTTATCTGGTTTTGTAAGAAAAGCATCCAGCTTGCCTTAGTCGCTGTTTTCCTCCGTAAGTCTCCGATCTGGTCTCTGGGCTTGCTTTCTTACCATTGTTTTATTTTTCTACTATTTTATTAAGGCTTAAGCTTTGGTTTGTAGCATCATGTAAAGCGATTTTAACAGTTAAGCTTTAGTTTTTTGGATCTGAAGATTGTTTCTGATAGCCCAAATAAACAATAAAAAGAAGAAGAAAAGTCGTAACAAAATTTGAGCAGGGTTTAACAAGACTAGTAAATTTGCTTGCTAAGCTATACCATTCGCTTTCGCTTTCCTTGACTTCTTCTTGTTATTTCTATTTTGGCTTTGCCAGTTAAACTTTGTCTGCACAACATCACATGAATTTCTGTGGGTACTTTTTGTCGAGCACCAAAGCGCTCTCTCTCTCTCTCTCTCTCTCTCCTTCCATGGGTGGCTTAGTTTTTATTCTGAGATGTGATTTTCTGTTCAGATAATTGTTGGTACCTATAATATATCTTTGTCATTTTCCGGCGCTTTTATCGCAGATCATCCTTCTTTAAAATGGAATATTGAGATCGTTTTACTGCTGAAAGTTGAACCGTTGTCGCATGAGTTTCTAGGGTAGGCAAATCCAGGAAATCTTCGTTAAATTAAGGTGCGAGTTTCATCCGAGTTATGGATATGAGCAAGTTTAGACCTGAGGCGTCGCATGTAGCACAGCAAAGCCTACGAGATAAGATGGGGGTTCAGCAAGGCTCTAATCCGGTTCAGCATTTGGAGAACTTTCCCAACAGCTTAAACCCAGATCTTGGTCGTCTTAGAAGTGATCATTTAGTCTACGATCCAGATATTTTTTCTTCAGGCATCTTCCATGTCTCGTCAAGCTCTAATGTTTTACCTCACCTAAGTGCTGCAGTGCTGCATCAGCAACTACAAACAGCTCAAGAACACAGGCAAATTCTTCCTGAGGCACCTTCGTTTTCCAGTTTGTCACGACCAAATTTATCTAAATTCGGTGCTTCATCTAATATCTCCGGTGAATCACAGCATAACTTTGATTGGATGGTAGGTTGTGCAAGTGGATTAGCTGGTAGGGAATGCAAACAGAACCCTATGTTTGTTGGGGAAGTCATGTCAAATAATGCCAGGCCAGGCAACATATCTGCAGCCACGCAATATCTAAAGCCTAATTACGGGAATTTGCATTTTGCTTCTCCTTCAATTTATCAGAATACTCCACAGGATGTCGTTATTAGTGCTACAATCGAAGCTCGGGAGCTTGAAGTTGCTTCTCACGAACATCAAAACGTCAGCGAATCTAGCAGAGGGCCAAGGATGGATTACTGTGGGAATCAAGCAAATCCTTTGCAATTTGGTGACGCCGGTGCTTGGATGAATATACCACCGGTGGAACATTCTCAACAGTGGTGTGGTGAACTGGCTACCCAAGGACTATCTCTTTCTCTTTCATCGAACCCCACATCTAAAATTTATGGTGCGGATGCAGTTCAGTTCGCAGAGGACCAGTGTGGCTATGATGCCTTTCACTCGAGGCCTGGTGAACTCAAGGAACTTCAAGATTCAAAATCTTTAAATTCGAGTAATTTTTGTTCGATGCAAAAACCATCTTCGACAGGTAAAGCTAACGGGAAATCCTTTCAAGACGCAGGTGGAGCTTCATGTAATTACGTTCATCGTCAAACGTTCCACCTTGGCCCCTTTACTGGATATGCTACTATTATGAAGAATTCAAGCTTTTTGAAGCCAACACAAGAGCTTTTGGATGAATTATGTCATTCCACTAAAGTTTGTGACACATCCGACAGGGTTTCCGGCGATGTTGATGCTTCTACTGCAGTTGGAACGGAGGCTGGAACTAGAAAGGGAAACAACTCGGGGGCCTCGTCCTCTACTTTTTACACTTCTAATGAATCTTGTAGGCCTGAGTACCAGCAAAAGAAGGCAAAGCTTGTATACATGCAGGAGGAGGTTGGTAATCATTTCTCTTTTCCCATCTCTAAATTGTTTCAAGTGATCAATTAACTTTTATGACAATTACATTCCGGTCACTAAAATTGATTTTTTTATATTTTAATTATGTCATTAAAAAGTACTTTCAATCTAATTATTTATACCGTATAACCAATCATGTTGCATGTAATTTTTTGAATAAATACATTTTTTATAAGGTGATGGTGACCAGAAAAGACGAGGAAAATATTCTCTCACAAGGAGTAGAGGCAAATATGGAACTAGATCAGGCTTCTGCGCACAACTATTTAATCATCTTAGGAATATATCTTTTTGTTTGATAAACAGAAAGCTATGAGATAAAAATAGGATTAAAATTAATTATATTTATTTTATAAAAATATATTAATTATAAAATAAATATGTTTCTTAAGTATATATACATAAATTGTAAAATTAATCAATTATTTTTGCAATAATTATCTATATTTTATTTTATAAAAGGGTAAAAATGTAATAATAAAAATAAAATTATTATAGAAAATATAAAATGTTACAACAAAATATTTATAGTATAACTTATTTTAAATAATATTATACATTTTTATAACATTTTATAATTTATATTATAATTGAATTATTTTTTTAATTATTTTTTCCCTTCTTTATTTTTTTAAAACATAAATTATAAATAATTTTTTTTGAAAAATAATTAATTAATATTTTAATTTATGTTAAAAATATTATTTTAAAATAATTTCTAATTTGTGATTATAATTAATATATTTTCATCGAATAAATATAAATGTTTTAGGATATAATTAATATATTTTCAACAAAGAATATTTGCCTAATGCTTGTGACACCACTTTATTGGAGGTTATATGTCTATTAAAAATTGACATGTAGGCAGTAGGCTTGTGATGATTAAGACCACGTTAGTAGTTTAACGAAAGAGTAGATTGTAGTGACTAAAATGAAATTGTTCTTATTTGTATCAGAGTGCAAACTCTTAAAAGTTGGGTAGCTGGCAGGTAGAATTTCTCCTAATCTTTATGAGCGTTTTCAATGAACTTTATTTAGCGTCTAACGACACAATGCTTATTGTTTGCTAGTATTCATGACATTTAACTTAAGGGCTAGATCATCGCATTTTCGTATTGATTTTGCTCACTCTTTTGGGAGTGCTTTCCAAGCTAGCTAAGTCCTTTTTTTGATGGGTTGTTTGGACCTCTGCTTGGTAGAAACTAAGTTAATGCAGTTAAGAGGTCATGACATGGGAAAATTATCTAACCTCTAACCTGCATTTGTTTAGTGAAGGGGTTTAGTTTAATTTGATCAAGGTGCTTGATCAGATAATGAAGACTACAGTTAAACTGATGCTCTTCAATAACTTCGGTCATCTTTTCCTTGTCCCGGATCATTATTGTTGTTGGACTTACTCCAAATTGCATCAGTTTTCGTCATGATAAATAAAATTTTGTTGAAGCATCTTAATTTTCACAAAGGATCCTATGAATGTTCTTTTATTTTTTGTTTTTTACTGTTTTTGTTATTTTTGTGTGATACTATTTCAAATTTAATCTCATGATAATGTCTGTCTTGCGATGGAAAGGTTTGCAGAAGATACAAGCTATACCATCAGCAGATGCAAATGGTGGTTTCTTCATTTGAATCCGTAGCTGGTCTTGGTGCTGCCACTCCCTTCTTTTCTTTGGCTCTCAAGAAAGTAGCAAAGAACTTTCGGTGCCTACGGAATTGTATTTTAGATCAGATTAGGCACATATCTAGATCCCTCGGGGAGGACTTTTTGTCCCCAACTGCTAGTACCAGTAGTAGTAAAGGTGATATAAATATGTCTAGGCTAAAGTATGCGGGTCAGAAATTTGGTGGGCTTAACTTCAGTTTCCTTGAACGTCAACAGCATGGCTGGAGGCCCCAGAGAGGCCTACCAGAACGTTCAGTGGCGATTCTTCGAGCTTGGCTCTTTGAACATTTTCTTCATCCGTAAGTCTCACTACTCTTCACTTTCTATTTTTGTTTTTACTCTTAAATGTGTCATCTGATGTGAAGTTCTGCGTCTTCTTTTCTTATAGGTACCCCACGGACACTGATAAGCACATGTTGGCCATTCAAACCGGCCTATCTCAAAATCAGGTGGGCTATCTGCTTCTTGTTTGTTGTCTAATTATTTAGACCAACACTGTTTATGTGATCCAGTTAAAATGTAGTACAGTTAATATCTTGATTGAAGCATCTTTCCTTAGATTTCCAAAGATTATGTCATAAAAATATCTAGGCTTCATGGTCTTTTGATTTGTTAATGCAGGTGTCTAACTGGTTCATAAATGCACGTGTTCGGCTTTGGAAACCAATGGTGGAGGAAATACATAAGCTTGAAAGCAAGGGCTTGGCAGAAGGCAATCAGAACTTGAGCAAAAGTGATGTCAAATCTATTATTAGTGAAGGACGTAAAATTTGGCCTAACGAAGAGCAATCTATCAACAGGTTATGTGTAAACGGATTGTCTGATAAGCAAATGGCTTACTCCGATATGCTGGTAGCCGACATCTCGGAAGATGCACATGACGTGGACCACTGGAATCATGAGAAACGTTCAAGGTTGGATTTTCATATCCCAACAAACATGGAGGGTTCGCTGATAGGTTTTGCACCGTATGAGCAAAGCAGGCTTGAGAATGGGGGACTTGGAGCTGTATCGCTTACCTTAGGACTTAGGCATGATGTAGAAAGTGCACAACAGCAGCAGCAGCAACAATATCAACAACAAGAGCATCATCTGAGGAGGCAATTTGGAGGTCAATTGATCGATGACTTTGCTGGTTGAGCATATATCGACTTATTGAAGTTGAAATGAGTAACTGATGAGATAGCTGTTCTTTGTGTCGGTTTTTGGAAGAAAAGAAAACCCTGCTAGTACAAGGTTGCAGATCACCTCGACAGCATTTGCTTGTCATGTTGAATGAAATTGATGACACAAATGTATTGAAATATAAAAGTAATAAACATTTGAAGTTGATTTGTATTACGTGTTGTGAGAAGCCGTTTGGATTTGTCGGGGAAGGGTTTAATTAATTAAAGCACAATTGTGTAGAACAATTTTAAGTTTCACTGTTTCAGGGTATGAAGGATTATTGGCAATCTTTGTTTTCGAAATTGCAGGGTTTACAGGTTTAGTGGCTGCTTAATAGCACGGGCTTGCATTACCAAGAATGGCCCATATAATGCAATCACATATATATCAGGCCATCGTAGTAATAACTTTTGGAGCCCAACGCCTGCAAAGGTTGGCAGTCGATGTTAACTTGGTCATCTCATGCAAACATCAGGGCATCAAGACGTGCATGCATGCGATATTTTTCAAACCCTACATATTACATCAACATATATGAACTATATATACATATACGAAAACAGAACAGGAATACATGGTACAAGCTACGATCACAGAGATATTTTAATTGAACATGAAATATCACATTATCATCCTCGAGAATTATTCCATATCATCACCATATAACTGTACCGATCTAATTATTTCACCTTCTTCCATCTCCGTTACCGCCGCCAGGGTAGTTGCTGAAATCCTGCCGAGGAAGGCAATGATGGTTGTCCACATCTTTCGATGGATAGCCGGCGGCTTTGACTGTGCCACCATTATCAAGCATGGTGCGTTCATGCTTCACCACCTCTTCTACTTTTATAACCTTTCTATTTGCAGCCAAGCAGAAACTCACCATCATCAGTATTGCTAAAGCAAGACCCTGAAGCTTCATTCTTGCCATTGCTTTCTTCTGTCCTCAAAAATCAGCAAACTGAGATATTAAACTAGCTATTATAATTTATATTCATATTATCGTATATGTACACATATATATATGCATGAATATATTAACTTATCTGTTTAGACAAAATGAATGAAGGATCGAATTAAAGGCCTTGGGAACAGCCAGGAAGAGGAGAGAAAAGCTAAGGTTTATATGGGAGACGATTAGGTTAAGAGTTGAGAATAGAGGGAATTAAATATAAATAAATTTGGTGATGAGATCTCCACCAGATGAGGCAAAATTAAGTGGGATGACCCTATTGCTCTCCTATCATACAGTTTTAAAATACTATTATATATCAAAATGATGAAATTGAAAGAAACATTTTGTCCACATTGGCACTAAGTAGCCATAAATAGGAAAATTCCACTTTAGGAATGGATTTATTTGATTGCAAAAGGAGAAAAAAAATATCAACGAAGCACCATTATCAGTGGGTGTTCTGTTGCCTGGTGAATGGTGATGTCATATTAGCAGAGTGACCTAAAAAACAGTAACCCAGAAGTTTCTTGAAGCTTAAATTTATGCTGATCTTTTCTTGAAGTAGCCATAAATAGGAAAATTCCACCTTATTGGACACATTACCATTTTGACTTCGTTAAAGAAAACAACGCAATTCCAGTAAATTGAAGTGTTGTAGCATCACTCTAATAATTATCATCATCAATGTTGATTTTATCCTTGAGCAATTATTGTACCTCTAATCTTACCACTAATAGGCTGAGAAATCTAGATTGCCTTTAATTATTATGATGATGAATATAGTGACCAATAAGATCATTGCCCAAAACCATGTACTCTCTGGGGTTTGGTATTCAAGGGACTAATATATCTATTGAATTCATTGAGGGGTTGGATTAATCCTCGTCGAATGTTGACGTGTCCGAGTTCATCGGCAAGCGGGCAATGCAGGCTCTAACCCAATTTTTTGTCTAAGGCCAACCCAATTATCAATGCAGGCTCTAACCCAAAATTTCATCTCTGGGTTTGCCTACTTTTATTCTATTTTAACTTCCTCTGCATCCATCAATATAAGCAGTTTCTGAGGAATGGCTAATCAACCCTTTATAGACTTGCTCTCCAATCTTATTGGTACCTTCATTGAAATCATTTGCATCTCTTCTTACATCATCTATGCCTACGTGATCAAATTTGGAATCACAATCAACTGCCGGCTTGAGAACTAGGGGCCAACTGAAAATTTCATTGAGAAAAACGTATACAACAACAAATTTTGGAACTTTTCTTCTTCTTGTTTACTGATCATCCATCTAGTTCTTGTTTTTAGTTGTATTTTAGGCAGATCATTAATACCACCATTCTTGAAAATTCACCATTTAAGTTTAAAATAATTGTAACCAGCTGGGGGTAGGAGGTAATCAAATGTTAACTGATGTCTCCTTCGAATGACTTTCCATCTTCACTGAAGTATCCAATGGTTTTACCAGTTTCTTAACTTGTTTTATTTTTTTAAATAAACTAATCAAGTGTCCTCCTTAGTAAATGGATTATTTTTATTCTTTGAGAACCTAGGTTCGAGCATTATAGATGTCAGGGACGTGAGCGTTAAATGTCAAAAGGTTAAGAGTTATCTTTAAACAAATATTATCTTATACTTATCTCGGATTAATAAAAAAATATCATTATTAACCTAATACTAGAGATCTCCAAATTTAGTATATATGTCAATAGAATTAAATAATTCGATGGTCTAGTAGGATGAAACACTATATTCTTTAAGCAGTCATGGGTTAGAATATTGATGTTTGTGCATAGAGTAAACTGGGTTGAGAGCGTCACTTCATATCGAGCCTCTGTAAAACTCGATCTGGATCACTTGGTCAATAGATCGTAAACAAATAAAGTGTTCCGTTACCTCATCCCGTTAGATTCTCTTAATCAACTTCTAACCTCTATCCTCCCGATCTACCTTCTGTTAGCCCAGTTGAGCATCAATCAAACAATGAAGGCCAAACTGCCAACCGAAGTTCTCAGACGCCTTTGACTTTGTATCATGACCCACTTCAAATTGTTTGCTTATCTACTGACAGTGAGTGATGTATATCTTACTTTCTTCTGAGAATTTCCCCTCTTCTGACCAGAAGCTGCAGCTGAAATTGGAATGTGACAAGGAGATTGAGGTGGTTGTAGCTCAGATTAGTAGAAAGTATGATGCTACAATTAAGGAGAAAGAAGCAGAGTTTCTTCTCCAGGAGAAGGAGCTTGATGAAAATTACAGTAAAGTTCTCTTGAATAAGATCATAGCCGAGGCATTCAGGTATGTGGATATTAGTGAAGCAAGGTGAATCATACATTTACTTGGCAGTTTTAACAGAGTTTACGGGAGAATACAGAATTACAGCGATGATCGATTATCTACTTGATGAAAATTCCATGCACTGGTGCTTCGTCAGGTTAGGGTACCTGTTCAATCACACATCTGTTGAGTGATCATTTCTGGGACACGGCATAGTTGTAGTCACTTGAGAATTTTTTTTACCACTGCGTGTTAAATTGCAAATATAAAGAGAATCCATGTTAACTCTGTGTGTGCTTTTGGGCATATAGACTATTTTCCATGTGTGCAAGAAACGATTGCTGAAAAATCTAATGGAGCATTCAAATTCTGATGCGTTATATGCTTGAATGTAATAAAAGATATGCCCTTCTGCAATGTCTCATTATACAAACTGACTAACTAGTGTGTGTTCTTTCCTGGCAGAGGCAAAGTGTAACTTCTTGCAGCAGCTGTTTCAACTTTCTTTGCAACAGATGATACAACAGCCTTCCGCTGCTTCTGGTTTCCCTTCAACTGGCTCATCTGCTGCAGTCAATGCACAAACCATGTGTCCTCCTTTGCAGCCTTTCACTACTTCAGGAATCCCTTCAACTGGCTCGGCTATGCAAACTGTTTCTACTGCTTTACTCAATGCACAAGCCATGGGTTGACCTTTGCAGGTTGATAAACGGTCGGCAATTTTATCAGGCTCTCCAACTAGAACTCCCTGTATGAGTACCATCTCCTCTTCAAGAGGAAACCCTCAAATAGGTACTGAAATTCCTGCTCCTGCTCCACATTTGCAGCCATTTAGGCCTTCACCATCCATTTCCCCATGTAGTCTCCCGTTACATTCTGGTGGAATGTCAAGTCCACGGGCACATAATAACCACCCTGCAGCTTCTATGTCATTGTGCCAGTCGCATGTTAACCCCCTCGTACACGGGCAGGCATCAACTACAGGCCAATCTGGTAGCACCCGACATGAAATTGCTGGAGGTTTGACAGCTCCACACAACTCCCCTTTACCATCATCGGATGTTTTAACGGGTGCAAATCCCCTAGGCTTTTTGCTGCCAGTTACTAGTTCGAGGTCAGCTGCGAGGTTTCATCGGGAATCTCACGTGCCAAGTAGTCGGTCTAACTCGGGACAGCATATTGAAGAAGCAACTGATATCATTTTTTTTATCGGATGATGACTGACCCAAACCACTAGGAGGTAATGTTGTTTAACTTAGATCCAGTGTTTGATCCTATCAGTTTTTATTTTAACCAAGAGGGCTTGTAAATTACTAAGTGTAAGGTCAGAAATTGATAGGGAATTGGCAATGGGGCCTGACTTTTTTGTGGTGTATGGTTATTTAACTCGTAATTTTCTTTTAGTTGCCACTTCCTATATTTTAAAGGTGTGTGAAATAAGATTGGAGCGACGGCCCAAATCTGAATCACATCCCTCACCTGTGGTCAACCAACGAACCAATTCCAATCGGATAGATGTGTAAAATAAGGGTTGGGTCTAGCAACTTACTGTTTTAATGTTTTCAACTAATGCATTAAGGCCTTACTCTCAACATACAATGGCGTAAACTGCAGGCAGTGAAGTGAAGACTGAAGATCCTCATCATACAAAACAGGCTTAATGCTCAAATAAGTGCCCAAACTATGCTCTTTTTGTCAAATAAGTGCCCAAACTATGCCCGTTTTGCCAAATAAGTGCCTACG